CACAGGTGGTATCAGAGACAATAATGAGTCTACGAGTTTAAAAACTCTTTCCAAAAACCTAAAATTTGACCAACAAAAGATTTGTAAAAAATAGGATGCGATAAATTTACGTAAGTATAAGCCCCAGCAATATGGTCTATCTAGGATAGTGGCACTGGTTTTATCTAATCAATCTTCTGTTGGTACACTAACTTACGCTGCGTAAGAATCGTTTAGCATACGGGAAGTGAGTGTGCACTGTGCCAAAAATTATATGTGAATGCCGCTATATTCTGGCTTGAGCGAACGAATAGGTCGATCCATGCATCATGAAAAGAGAATCTTGCTTAAACTAAACTCCCCTACACGTATAATTTTGGGTAGTAAAATGATAGGATAATAAATAAAGAGAAATGCTTTAACTCTTAAGAAAAAGTTCTCTCTTGTAACCATTTATTGGGCCTTATCATCTCTCTAGCCATTTGTTTCTAAGTATGGAGGCCTTGTCCCTAACAGTGGGTTCCTATCTGTTTACAGATGAACCTGAGGTCTGGTCGCGGGAGCACTACTGCTGGGACGGGCCATGGTCTTGGTGAAGACCAAGGCAAAAATGGTTGTGGCGATGATCATGGCAATGCCAATGGGAAGAGCGATGAGGCCCCACTCCATGGTCCTCCTCCACCACCACCATCACCGCCTCCGATGACCCATGCCGAGTTGATGGCCGAGATGTTGGCTAATCGACGCAAGTCAGCCCGTGCCTTGGAGATGCTGGCATAGGCTATTAGTGGCTTCGCCCATGGAGGTACCAGTGGCAATGGCAGGAATGGGGGTGGTGCCCATGGTCCTGAGAGGCCCTGTTCCTATCAAGACTTCTTGAGGACACACCTGCCCATGTTCACGCCGACTACGGAGCCTCTAGACGTGGAGCATTGGCTTCGTATTCTGAAGCAGAAGTTTTAGCTGCTTAATGTGACGGATGAGCAGAAGGTGCGCTTTGCTGCACAGCAGCTTCCGAGATCTACCAGTGCTTGGTGGGACACTTTCAATGTCATGCAGCCTATGGACCACCAAGTGACTTGGCGGGAGTTTACCATTGCTTTCCATTAGTACTATATTCATGCTGGTTTACAGAACAGGAAGCCATCAATACTATACCATGCGGTGCTGCCGTCGCCATGACGCCGTGTTGCGCTGCTGCTGCTCGTCTTGTCACCACGTGCACGTGGGCTGTCCCGGCCGCCTCATGCCGTCGCCTCGCCTTAATGGCGCTACGGCCGCGCATGCCGCACCCCCACCTGCCTCCACGCGCGCGCACGTGGTCTGGCCACGTTGTCACGTAGCGAGTGCGCAGACGCTGCCTTGGGTCCGGCCGACCGCTTATCGCCAAGGTGAGGACAGCTAGAGCTCGGACCCATCCCCTCTCCCTACCGCCTGTACCGTCAGAGTCGCGCCCTCTCAATCAGCCAGGGAGAGTTCACCTCAATCTGATTCAACGTGTCCACGGCCTCGTCATTAAGTCCTCTAGCTGCCCGACCCCACCCAGCCTTGAAGCGGGCATGGCCAAGCTCCAATTTGGGGTTTTCCCGCCGTGTGTCGATAAGGCCACGCTGGGCCATTACCGAGGGCAGCCCTCCATAGGTCCACCGCGAACTAATTCAAGTACACCGCAATCTTCGCTTCCATCCCCTCTTCGCCCTGCATGCCTTGACTGAACCTCTATCGCTTCCCCGACATCGTTGATGTGACCGTGTTGCCGCGGTGCACCGCCACACGGCTTGGCCGCACGTGGCCAACCCTCCTCCGTCACCCTTCACTCCAACTGTCACCTCGGCTAGGTCCACGGTGAGCCCCTGTTGCTCGCACATTAGCTGGTTAGGTTTCTAGCCGCCTGAGCTCAGCGGAACAGTTGCGTCGCCGTCACGGATGGCCGCACGCCGCTGCAGCCTTCCCCAGCGAGTCCCGCCACCCCTCACCGCCGCTTAGCGTAGCCACCGAGATCAGAGATGGTGATCGACCCCTTAGGTGGGCCCACGCAGATCCTAGGTGGTCGGCGTAGGCGCCCAGTGCCGCCGCTCGCCGCACCGCCGTACACTGAGTTGCCGAGGGTGTGCGCGGGTGAATTAGGGAAAGGTCGGAGGTTAAATGAGAAGGTCTGTGAGAGGGGGAAATAGTATTAGGACTTCGCAAACAAAAAGAAAACAGTAAACCCATATTGCCTATCATACCCCTTGGAGTCGGGAAACTATTTCCACTAGTCGAGTAAGTCTTGCGAGTACATTGTGTACTCAGGGTTTATTTTACCCTGTTGCAGGTGTAGCTTGAGGAGTAGCTCTTGTGTGGAGGATTCTTCTGGTGGGTACAGACGGATCCTTGTATCGTTTCGCTGGATGTTTATTTTCATTCCGTTGTTTAATTATCGCACTCTAAACTTTGGTATTGTAATAAATAATTTCCAATAACTCTTGTTGCATGAAATGGACTAAGTGTTGTAAGCTCATACTCATTATTGGATTCTGGAGGTAAAACATGGATTGATTCGAGTTGTCCCGTGGGGTGTGCTCAACGGAACTGTCCGATGTAGCTAATTTTCGGGGGTGCTTAGTGTCTATTAGAAGACGAGTGCCTCCGAAAGCGTGTTATTTTCGGGCGGTTCTGCCACAAATGCCACCGGGATCGCCCTCCGCCAAACCCACTACGCCAAGTGCATCCTTGAGCTCGGCGTTATGACAGGCTGCAATCCGGCCCACACCCCGATGGAGGAGAAGCTAAAGCTAAGTCGGGAAAGCACGACGGAGGAGGTCGATCCAACCCATTACCGGCGGCTGATTGAGAGTTTGCGCTGCCTGGTCCATACTCGGTCAGACATCGCATTCGTCGTCGGGTACATGAGCCGATTTATGGAGCGGCGACGATGGAGCATTTGCAGGCCATCAAGCGAATCCTACGCTAAGTGGTGGGCACCCTCGACTATGGTCTTCACTACTGAAGGGCCCCCGACACGGCGTGGTTCGTCGGCTACTGCGACAGCGACCTCGCCGGCGATGTGGATACCAGCAAGAGCACAAGTGGAACGATGTTCTTCCTTGGTGATTGTTTGGTCAGCTGGTAGTCCCTCAAGCAGAAGGTGGTGGCTCTCAAGCTGTGAAGCGGAGTATATCGCCACCACCACTGCCGCAACATAGGCGCCGTGGTTGTCAAGGATGATGGCAGAGCTCCTTGGTAGGAAGGTAGATGTGGTTGAGCTGAAGGTGGATAGCAAATCTGCTCTAACTCTAGCCAAGAACCCTGTCTTCCATGAAAGAAGCAAGCACATCTGCATTAAGTACCACTTCATCAGAGATTGCTTGGAGGATGAGAGCATCAAAGCCAGCCACATTGCCACTACTGATCAGCTAGCTGATATTCTCACCAAGTCGTTGGGAAGTCCAAGTTACATGAGATGAGGGAGATGATTGGGCTACAGCAGATCACCTCCGGTGCTCGGCACAAGGCTTAGGAGGAGATTGACAGATAAGCCTAGTGTTAAAGCACTTGTATTTTACTTTTTCTACGCTTTTTATTTTTCTTAACTTCTAAGCCTAGTGTTAGAAATATGCTTAGTATCCACTTTAGTGGTTAGAATATGTTGTAGCAAGTGGGAGTCCTCTTTTCCTATAAAAGGTAAGGAAGTGTCATTGTAAAAACAAGTCATTGTATTTTTTATTTAATCCAAACAGATAAGGGCCAAGCTATTCTCTGATAGTTTCAGATCTAAATCTGAGATCTAATCGGACCAACGGCCTGGCGTTCACCGTTGAAGGGACAGCAGGAGCCCTGATAAGAGGTCCGCGCTCTCGGCGTCAGTGAACCTTTCGGTGCTCTCTGCAGCCGTGCATCATGATGTTCGTTGCTAGTAGATTATAGGAGTAGTGGATTACATTATAGTAGTATGCTATAATAGCATAAGCATGCAGGCATCCGGGGAGACCGACCTCCAGAACTTCAGTTGGCAGAGCTCTCAGATACCTGAGAACACCTGAAGCAAAATCTCACAGACCCCAGTGGCCCAGTTGTGCTATCTCCTCCAACGAGCCTGCAAAGCTGGAGGCTGCTGGAGGTCTGAAGGTGAGAGATGTTCAGCGTTGTTGTTGTCAACTCTCCCGACGCATTATATTGTCGATCCACATGACCACATCCTGAGCACTATTTGGTTTCAGGGACTAAAGACTAAATATGGACTAAAAGACGGATTAAATAGTATGTTTGTTTTTATGGACTAAAAGAGACTAAAGGATATTAAAGCTGTTGAACAAAGACCAAAACGCTCCTCCCTTCTATTCTCTTTCTCTCTCTCCTTCCTGTCCACGGGTGCCGAAGCCCTCGGCGGAGGAGAGCCAGACGGCGGTAGGGAGTGCCAGGGTCGGCTCGCCGTGATGGCACCTCCGGAGCCACCGTCCATGGCTGCCTCACCAGATCTGGGACCGCTCGCCAGCCGCCGGTGAAGAGCAGCATCGTGAGGTCGCCGTAGAAGGGCATGTTTGTTCCTTGGGACTAGAGACTACGGATCTGTTTGGTTGCTAGCCACAATTTACCACGCCTAAGGTTAGGTGTTTGTCATACCGGTGGCTTGCCACATTCTGTGACAAAGTTAGACCGTTTGGTTCATTAGTAAGGCATGGCAAAAATTACATGGCTTATTGTTTGGATGGGTGCCAAAATTACATGGATTGTGGATGGCTACAAAAACTACCCAGGTGAAAACAGTGGATTGAAAATATATGATTTTTTTGAATGGATATGGATTAGTGTTGAAAAAGTACACAAAATAGCAGTGTGGGACAAATTTAATCATAGTGCTAAGCATACAAATTTAATCATAGTGCTAAGCATACGCTTAGCCCTCAAATTATAGAGATAAATCACCCCCATAGAATAAAAAAATAGATCAGCAATAGTGCGCTACTGGATTCTTCACGGAGAAAACTGAAAGCCACTTACATGTGGGCCGCACTACACGATCTTATCCATTCCCCATTATTTTAGACAGCAGATGTGGCTTTCGAGGCTCGAAGCCATGGCCCTCCACTCCATCCGCCATGTGTGCACCAGTAGAGCTCAAGTAGGAGTCCAGTTCTACCCCCATCACGCTCGCGATGTCGCCGGTGCGCCTCGACTCCACCGAGCGCGCCTTCGACTCCGCCAAGCCGTGTCTTCGACTCCGCCGAGCGCGCCTTGTTGTCGTCTCCGTCTTCGACTCCACCGTTGGGCGCGGTGGCATGGTGAGTTGGGCCCGTGCAGATGGGGGCCGTCGCGGACGAGCTCATGGTGGAAGAGGCAGGGCATAGGAGGAGGAGTGGCAGGAGAGAAGTGTGGCGGAGGCGGAGGAAAAGCCCGCCACACTTCGACACAGAAAAACAGTGCCGAGTGTTTTTCAGAAACATGACGAGCCGTAGTTGAATCACGAACCAAACGCTTGCCTAAGCAACCATGGCGAGCCTCAACTTAGACGTGGCGACACGCCCTGCTTTTTAGTCCCTCTACTGCATCGACCGACTACCACCGTCCATTCACAACCCGCCGCGGTGCACCATCTGGGCAGCCTCCACGTGAGTACGTGCCTGGGAAATTATCCTCAGACCACCGCACGGGTCAGAGTTTGATGGCATGGCGTCAGCTGGATTTACAAAGGCCTTGTCTGTTGCTGGGCGCGCGTCAACCGCGCGAGTCTCTGACGAGTGGAAACTTTGCGCGGAGGCGATATATGGCGGCGGCGAGGACGAAAAAGAAGATTTTCGGGAGAGCTCCCGATGGGCGATGCTGTTCTCAAAGATGGTACTCGCAGGCAAACGCAAGCTGTCGCGCCAAAAAAGAAGAAGAAGAAACACCGCTGCTTTTTACGCTTAAAGGCCGTGTTGTTTGGCCGGAATGACGCACGAAGGAGGTGGAGCGCCTGGGCTCAGCTGGTCCGTGAGATGGCAGGGGAAAGCCGGCAGGGATGGAGCGACTACCCGGCAGTCGTGAGGGTCGACTGCAGAGGATTAGGTTCCGCTTTTAGTCCCTCTACTGCATCGACCGACTAACGTTTTAAACCCGCCTAATTATCTGGGCAACGTGATTGCCTGACAATTATTACGCAAATCTGCAAGCGAAACGCAGTTCTTCCGACTCTCAACTTTGGTTATATAAAAAGAAGATTGGCGTCGGTGAATCAACGAAGATTAAATTCGGCCAACTAAACAAGGCCAAAGCTCCCCTGCTGCTTTTTCCAACCTTGACGGGAGCAGGAGTAGCTGTAAAGCACTACTAACTTCGCATCATCCATATACTCCTGCTAATCCTAGTTAGCAGCAGTGGCGCTAACTAACAACAGCTAGGGCGGTAGGCTAGCCCGGAAATTGCATCATCATCGTCCGGTGTCCAAAGGCCAAAGCAAACAAAAGGCGCCGTACGTGTCTCATCTCTTCCTGTCGCGGTCGCGGTCGCGGTCGCCGCCTGACATCATCTCGTCTCGCCATCGTCTTGTCCTGTCCCGCGCAGACGCGCAGTGCAGTGCAGGAGTTGACCTACCTGCTCCCATACGGCCACGGCCCACGGGCACGGGCAGGAAAAGAACGGCCGTTTCTAGCTCATCCTCCACTCGCGTCGCGTGTTGAGGGAGGGAGGTGTGCAAAAGGGGAAAAAGAAGAGAGGCAAAGCAACACGATACTCGTAGGGTCGGGTATCTGTAATCAGCCTCGGTTGGGACGCGGATGCGATATCCTCGATGCCATGGAACGACGAGGCGACGATGGGTACAGCAGTACACTACGTACTTGGTCGCTTTGGTGGTGTCTGTCGTCCACACCACACTCGGCGGCAGGGCGGCTGCTTTGCCGAGCGTACGCGTGCGCCGTGCCGGTTGGACCTCCACCACCCTTTCCTTTCCCGCGGGGCGACGCGTGTGCCGTGCGGTCTCGGCTCTAGAGCCGTGTGTGCCCGTCCCGGCGTCCCGATCCCTTTCTTTTGGGTGGCCCAGGTACGGTGACGAGACGTCACGTCCTGAATTCCCCTGATCATGATCCATCGGAAATTCGGAACGTCACTCGCGGAAACGTAGCGGAACCCGCCTCAGGCTGCAGTGCCCTTGCTTTATCCCGCCTCGTTTTGCACTCTGTATCGCCACCCCGGCCGGCCGGCCGCCGGCGTGATGCACCCACCCAACTATACGCCTACTCACAAAGCACCAACTTCACCGAGTCGAGCTCGATCGGTCGCCGTACGTGGCATGTCTAGGGTGCCGTGGGTGAACGAACACTGATGACTGACCAGGCTCACCGAAGGCGAGAGGTACAGACAATATATGGCACACGTTAACGGCTCTCCGTCATCACGGCCCTTTTCCCTCCCGTTGTATTGGCTCCGTTCACTTCGCTGGAAAACAAGTTTGCTGTGAGAGAAAAATACTGTTTCAGCTAAAAAAACAAGTTGAAAAAGACGGATTAAAAGAGAAGTGAATAGGGCCATTGTTTACGCTGACACTGGTGTCTTTCTTTCCTCGTATCCGTTTGGTGCAGGAACATAAATCTGGGCACACGGTCCACAGTCCACACGACAATGATGCATGTGGGCACGTGACAACCGAGTGCTGTCCAACTGTGCCTGCCTAGGTTACACGAAGAAAACGACCTCATCACACCATGGACGCGACGGTTGGTGCGGCCGTTCGCCCCCACCACGTACGTGTGTTTAGTTGCAGTTGTTTCTCGAGCAAAAAGCCAAAAACTCGCTCCAGTACCTCCGCGTCGACATTGCTTCGGCTCGTGCACTGCAGGCAGCAATACACACCATAACAATCTCATGAAGTACGAAGTACGTCATAATTAAACAATCTTAACACCTTTCCCAGTTTCCCCATATAGGCAGGGGGAGAAACACATAGTACCGCCTGCCACTGGTTACGCCGTTCCCGTCTTTGCTGAGCAGAAACAGTTCCCGTGCTATAGAAAATACTGAGGGCCCGTTCGTTTACGTCGATTCCCGGTCGGAACGCTTCCCGGTGATAGCTAACCGGTATAAAATACAGCTGTCTTCCGGCCAGGATCGGTTCCGGCACTCCGTTCTGCTCGAAACGAACGGGCCCTGAAGAAACAGAAAGGGCAGGAATGGATTTGGCCAGGAATTATCGTAACCGAACGAGGCCTTACAGGAATGCTAGTACAGGTGTACAGCACATTGTGCCATTTCCCTTTTTTGTGAACTGTGCCATTTTCCCCTTTGAGAAAGTTGAAGACGACTCCCATACAGCACATGGTGCGCGTCACTTTGTAAGTTTTATTTAGTATCCCTGACGAAGAAGACTGGGCAATTAATATCGTTCTTGCTTACGGTTTTCAATTTTGGTATTAGAATTTTTTCGGCCACCCTAAAAATTAATGAATTTCATGAAATTTAGCAGAAATTTCATTGAAGTTTTTTAAAAGACTTAAACATGAAGTTTTGATTTTTTTCCCTAAAATTTTTATATCTAAATAAAACTTTAGCATGATTTATGACTACACAACTATTGAGAAGAAGAATATGCAACATAAACAATAGAAAATATAGATCATAGAATTATAATATTATATAGCACACGTATTAGTGTAATACGGAATTTCATATATTTTTTTTCCTTTCGGTCACCCCTGAAATTACCAAAATTTGGGAAATTTAAAAAAAATTGGGAAATTTAATTAAATTTTGAACCCTGGTTTCAATTAGCTTTTGCTTGGTTCCATTTGCTCCTTGACAACTTATAGTAGTCATGTAACCTGCGTGGACGACACTAGTTGTCGCGTTCATAAACCCGGGGTCCCCAATGGGCTCGCTTCCAACAAAATGCTCGGCCCAGCAGACAACGTTGCGACGACGCGCAACTCCTGGGTCGTCCCAGATACCTAACGACAGGACAAAACAGTGGTCCAGTCTCCGACCGGAAGGCCTGGCTAAGGAGGGGACGACACTCGCTTCCGACTCCGACCCGCTTCTCCGACTGGAAGACCTGGCCAAGGAGGGGACGACACTCGCTTCCGACTCCGAACCGCTTCTCTGACCGGAAGACCTGGCCAAGAAGGGAACGACACTCGCTTCGACTCCGACCCGCTTCTCCGACCGGGGATACACCGAACCTCTGCTTACATCTTCCGACTCCGACCGGCGCAGTCAGAACCGACTGGGGACAACCAACCCGGGGCGCCGCTCGATAAGGACCCAGAAATCGAGCAGAACAGATAAGGCAAGGCGCTCAAGTTAAACGCAATACCGAGGACCATACACCTACAGGATAGTACTGTCAGACCATGTCAGAAGGGTGCTCTGCAACCTTCTAGACATGTCAAAACACGAATAGTGTTGTGGGCGTCGACATTTGTCTTACAGTATGGTAGGCGTCGACATTTGCCATACCAGAAGAACACGATGGAGTCTACCATATGCATCTGGGCGTCAACAGTATTATGGGCGCCGACAAAACCGTCCTGTACCCGACGGCGTGGGCAACAAGACTAGGTAGCGCGCGCACACACACTCTCTCTCTCACTTGTAAGGCCATCATCTTCACCTATAAAAGGGGATGCGCTCTCTCCCAAAAGAAAGAAGATCGATACAAAAACAACTGACGACAGACGGATCATTTCGACTCACTCTCTGCTAGCTTTAGATATTCTAAACCCAGACAGAGCATACGCACCAATACTCAGGGCACGGAAGAGCTCCCGTCACTCTTGGCCCTTTGGTCTAGAGTTCGACCGGACCTCTAGCACCCCCATCTTACTCCCATTCGTTTGTAACCCCACAGTAAACTTCGAGCACCTGGGCTTAGAAATAAAGTCACCGACCGACTCAAACTGGACGTAGGCCACGTTGCCTGAACCAGTATAAACCCTGTGTCATTGAGTGCTACTCCACATCCGATCATATGTAGGTTTATCTATGCATATAGTTTCAATATAAATCCTATAACGTAAATGCACATCACACATATATATTCAGTGATTATTCAAAATAAGGGTTATGCACCGGGGCTTGTCTTGGGAAGGCGCGGTGTCAGCTCAGTCAGTCAGTGGCGGCTCCGGGACCTCCTCCTACACGAGGATCTCCCCCTCGTACTCCTCGATCACCTCCTCGAACTTGTGATCTCCGATGGTCACGATCTCCGCCAACTCGTTCTCTACGTGCATGCGATGATGATGCAACCCTTAACATTTCGGCAACAACAACTCTTAAAATAAGAATACACATAGTAAACTACTAAGCTACCTCTAATGACTAAGATACTAAGCTAACTATCATCTTCATCAAGTAAAGT